AAGCAGTACCTGAGGACCTTACTTTACCTGCAGTAGAAATCAGATGGAAAAGTGTAAGTCTTGAGGTCTGGCTTCACTTCATTGCTGTCAGCAGTAGTCTTACGTTGTTGAAATCCCCCTTTTCTCTTGGGGCGGAATAACCATTTACTGGCATGCCCCAAATTCAACTTATGATTAATGAAGAGGGATGAAATGCTGATGTTGATACACCACCCCCCAGAATAAGTGCTTCTGGTGTCTGAATTTCTACGTTGTAACAGCAAATGCTGAGGACATTCTGGGAGGAGTGTGCATGTGTGTTGAGTGTGTCCCCCTCCTCCCCACCCCTCAGAGAAGCATAACTGGCACTACCAGCTGCTTTTTCATTTGGCTTGAGATAAAAATACACTGAACAGAAGAACATCTTCTCTTGACAGAAATACTTACAGAAGTCATAATCTTTTGAAATACTCTGCTATCTCTTTCTCTATTTAGCCTTTTCCAATTAATATTTTTACAGTCTTTTCCTTTGTCTTGAGTTTGTAGGTTAACACTATTGTGTTGTGGTTAAATAAGCTACTGAAAAAATTTTTTAAAACAAGTTGGTTCTTGGCTTGTTGGCTTCTCCTTTTTCTCCTGTAAGCTGCCTCCGAAGTTGTATCGGTACTTAAAATTAATACTTTTTATTAAAATTTCTCTTTATGAAAGCTCTTGAATATAGGAATAAGAAGTTTGCTATTGGTGTTTATAGCTTCCAGTGAGATTAAAACGTTGCGTTTTAAAAGGTATTTAAACAGATTTTTTTCACTCTTTACTACCTAGTGCCTTGGATCTTTTACATAAAACTAATTTTAAAAGTTAGTGAAGGATCAGTGACTCAAACCGCATGGAAAAGTTCCTAACTTCGTTTTAATCCTGTCAGTTCCAAGTATGGCTGCAGGGATGTGGAAATTCTTCTAATATGGGAGTGATTGCAATAGCTAGGGATGGAAGCATTCAAGAGACTCATGTATTTGAGAAGAAAGATGTGGTCGTGATATGATACTGTGAAGATTTAAGGGAGATCCTGTTCACCACAAATGTTGTATCAATCCCAGATACAAAATACCGTGGCATTCAATAGATGATCTCACTGTTTTAGAAGGTAGTGGAAGTTTCTTAACCTGGCCTGTCCTGAGTTCCTTAGCTATGAGATTTGAAAATTGTGTCACAAATTACTGGTGGGACTGGTCATAAATCACACTGATACCATGGCCCCTGGGAACTGTACTTCATCTACCAGAACACAGTGTTTTCTGATTGAAGTTAAAAGCCTGTTGCCTGTAAACTAGTTATTCAGCTGTCTTTGCTTAAAAAAAGTATGACACGATTTAAGACTATTGCTGGAATTTCCTGATTTGTTCGTTTGTGTTGGGCATTGCAGACCCAATATGATTAGAGGAGCTCAACCTCAGTCTTACTTAGGATTTCAAATCTGTTCCTCACAAATGACTCTACAAGAGATCCTGCATCGAGAAAGCTGTGATTTGCTTTTGTAAAATTATGACTATTTGTGTATAGCAGGGTGACAATGTTATACTGGTGTTTATATAACTTCAGCAGATAAACTTTCCACCTAGTGAAGTACCTATGTGTAATATTGTCCCATTTTTAGATGTGGTTTGGAATACTTTTAGTAATATTTTGAATACTGGCTTTTGGAATGGAGATTGCTCCACTTTACATGAAGTACTTCAGTGCTTGATCGACTGATTGACAAGTTTATTTAAACTACGCTGGATTTGTTGGCACAAGGTCACTTGAGCCATCTGTTTTAATTAGTTTAGGGAGCTTGGGAAATTATTAGTTACCTACTTGTATAGTTATCGGCAACTAAGCTTGCGTTATCAACCTTGCTTTTATCTGATTGTAGTGTTTGTGCGTGCCATCAGGCCAATAGCATAAAGTTTGAAATCCTCTTACCTACTGAATACTTAAACCGCTGTTTTTCCCATCTGTCTACAAGTGTATTGTTGAACCTGACTTCCAGAAACATGCATGTTTCTTCATTTCACCATGCTATAGTTTTTTCTCTGGCAATATCAGAATTAGCGAAACCTGCTGTTGAGGTTTTCACTGGTGTGATGAAGATCTCTTCCAAATATAATAGTATTACTAGAGGAAAATAAATAAAAGAATCCTTCTCACTCTGGTGGGGGGGTGGGGAATCAAAGAAAAGAGACTTGACAAGGTCTTTATGGGGTAAAAAAGCAGAGACTAGCATTTATGCCGCTTTAATTCTCAGAACAGGTTTTGCTTGCAGCTGGTTTGGGGGTGTGGTCATGCATCTCTTTTGCTAACAAGACTTTAAACAACTAATTCATGTTGCTTGAATAGGTGAATCTATTGCTTAACCATAGCTGAGACTGTATCCTGATAGAAATTGAGGCACTTACCTTAGCAAGCCCTTTTCGGTCTCAAGGATAGCCTTCTCAGAAATAAAGGAATAGATTACTTGTAATAAACTATTTCCTCATATATAGCTCTGCATGCATTCTGGATATCTCAGTATAACTGTAATTTAGTAAATAAGTATTACAGCGGTTACTAGAAACTGAAAAAGCAGTTGACTCCTGAAAATGACTAACAAAGTGGAAGGTTGACTCCTTGGGTTGCATGGATGAGTGGCTTTAAACTTTTTGAAAGGATGGTGTCAATCTTTGAACATTGCTTGCCTTCTAAACAGCAAGTTCTGTGAGGAAAAAGTTGAAGCTTGGAAGCCTGCACAAGGTAGAGTAAAAAAAAAAACCCAGACCACAACAAATCCCAGCCCTAATCTTTTTGGAAAACAGAGATCCATTATGTATTTGAGTAAAAAGTGACTCTTTTCCCCCACCTCAAGTTTCTATTTTATCATCTTTAGTTGAAAGCCTTGCTTACACTACCAGCAGTTTTAAATCTGCAGTTTTTAAGGTCTTGCGAGCATGGGATGTGAAAAGAAATAGCATTTAAATCTGAAACACTTCAATTAGCAGACTCTGCTAGCAGCTTGTGGATGAACAGAAATTTTATTTGGACTGTTCAGCTATGCAGCTATGATCATTGAAAACTGAGGGTGGGTTTTTTTGTGTTCTGGAACTGTGATTACTGGAACACTTCAAGAAAGTTTGTTGCTAATGAAATGCCTATTGTGAGTGTGGTGCCATATTATCACCTTTGAATTTGCAATCATTGCCAGATTAAGTAAGCTGATGTCTTGTGGCCCTAATAAAAGTGACCTTGGGTAGTTCTGCAACTACAGAGTGGTATGTTGCAAATGACAAAGTTTACTGGTAGACAGGTTAACTCCTGCTGTCCAGTAACATTGTTAAACATAAGTTTTCAAGAAAGTAATATGTATATAAGTAATTACAGAATTATCATTTAAAATAAAGCACTGGTATATGGTCCTTGGCTAATGTTTAACAATGTTTTGACTAGAATCTAAAGATTTAAACAATTACAGTAATTATTCTATGTTCAGAATTTGGTAGGATAAGAGAAGACTTCTTTGTGTATAAGATTTTTACCTACCATAAATAAAACTCTTTAGCAGCTTTTGAAGGTTCACAGTACAAAACTACAGTCTTGTGAAAGCCGTCTAGTTGGAGGCAATTGCACAGGTTAATCTGTGGACAATTTCTGGAAAGGGCAACTGTGCAACACCTTTTGATGTTTTTCAAACTAAGGGCTGACTTTCCTCACGCAGGAGGTGTATAGCTCTGCTATGCTTATTAAAGAACTTAATGCTGTTCTGAATATACAAGGTTTGATAAGGAAGAAATAAATTGTGCCTTTTGTTAACCTTTACATGCTTTTCTTTATTAGTGATCATGAAAGGTGTGTGGCTGACAGCATTGCAAACAGAAGCTCGACTTGTCCACAGAACAGGTGCTGTACGTAATTGCAGTAAAAAAACTCTTGTGTGTAAACTTGGTACATGTCAGTCTTGCCTTCCATGTAGGAAGTGAAAAACGTATGCTAGCTGGAAGTAGGAGGAAGGAAGAAACCCTTGCTAATAAAATTAGGTGTGATGTGAAGCCAGATTTTTTCTGCCACTGGGAAAGGTTCAGCATAGGATTCTTATGGATAAAGAAAAACTTGATTCATTTTGTGATAGATAGATATGATACCTGAATCCCTCCCTTGCTGGTACATGGGAGGAAGCCATCTTAAAAACCTGAAATGTCTTAGATTTACTCCTGCTTAGTACAGTGAAGCTACCAGTCATGTTATCTGCACACTGTTGCATTTAATAATCTATACGGTTTTTGCACTGCAGAGTTTTTAATATATAATGCACAAATTATACATGTGAAAACAAGGTATGTTGTGCTGCTAAGCTTGTGATTTAATATGCACAGGGTGGCTGAGGAACAGCAGCTGTAGTAACCCTAACTGGGTTTCCTAACAGCTGCAACTTGGCCACATTGCAAATATTAAAGCACAAATCTATTAGTGTGCAATAATGCAAAGCCAAGGGCAGTGAATTTCTAATCTAGCCACAGGAGTGGAGAAGGATCTTGAGATGCGCATTTTCTCCAGAGTGTAGACCACTATGCAAAGGACTTGAAAGGTTGGTGAGGAGGAATTTTATTCAAAACTGTAGTCTTAGTTGACTGACCTGGAGAGCAAATTAAAAAAATATGGTAACAGAATGCTCTGATAGTCTATATATGCTAGCTGAGGTCTTCCGCAAAACAGATTAATGTCTTTTTAAAAAAGATTAAGAAAACCCTGCTCGTGACTCATTGGCTTCTTTGTAAACTTTTCTCTTACAGCTTTTATTGCAGGAGTGTAAACTCTAGCAGTCCTTTCAGTGTAAAATTGTTAAATGAGCAATACTGCAGAAAAGAAATAGGGAAGTGATGAGAGGTTTAAGATGGAAAGGGAAAAAGGAAAGCTCATTCATCTGCTCTCTCTTCTCTCCTAGTCTGGTAGAGAGGCACCAATGAGGAACTTCCTGAAATTTTAACCTCCACATTCATGTTAGTACGTGCATCATGGCACAGCAAGGAAATGTTGGTGAGCTCCTCTCAATGCTGGATTCTCCAATTCTGGGTGTCCTGGAAGATATAACAGCTGCGTTCAAAGATAATCTCATTTGTGGTATGTATCCTTGTATGTAATTGGAGGAAGGTTTTGCTTTCACACCAATAAAGGTAGAATAATGGGGTTTTTTCTACCAAACACAGTCTTTGCAAATGCAAGTTGAAAGAAACTCGTGATATTTGAGTTTGAAATTGCTTTAAGGATTGAGGCTTCTCTTCAGTCCATTTTGCTTAATGGCATGCCTGTTGGAAGGTCTGTTATATAATTGTTAAAATGCTGTTATAAAATGACTAGCTTTTCCTGGGGCATAACCTCAAGCTGGTGAAACTTTCTTTGTCAAGTATGTCTAGAAAGAGTTAGGTGTCATCCACATTATGGGAAGTAGTGGGATTTTGTTCATTGGAATAACAAACAACAAAAAACCCACCCCAAACAAAACAGCAGACCCGGACTTTCTTGAAAAAATGATTGCTGCTATTAAGGCATCCCTTAAGTTGCTAGAGCCTTTTCAGAGGATGACAGCACTGTCAATGTCCTTATTCCTGAACCTGTTCTCCTTTATCGGCTGAGGGGAGAGAATGTAAAGTTACTCCTGAACTCTTTACCTGTCCTGGGTAAAATACTCTTGCAGTTCAGCTACCTCCAGGTTTTTAAGGTTAGACAGTGCCACAAGCAATTGTTAGTTATTAAAAAACTTAGTTACTTTCCCTGAGCCGAATGCAATTGTTTGAATGGTTAGGAACTAGAAAATGTAGTTGAGAGGTCTCATTTTCCTAAAGGTCTGGTAACACTAAGTACTGGTTTATGTTATAAATTGTGTAATAGTTGTTAAAAACTTGTACAACGTCCCTGTAACAAATGCTTCATTTTTAGTGTATTGAGAATGTATGTTTTTTGTCTTGCTGTAAACAAACTGATAGACCGTGGACCTATGCTTGTGAACAACCTGGTGGACTATTACTTGGAAACCAATTCTCAGCAGGCACTGCATATACTGTCCACACTGCAAGAGCCTCATGACAAGGTAAAAAAATCTTGTTATTAAGTATGGCAGATTTTAGCGTGGTATTGAAGCAGCCTTTAAATAGCATCTGTTAGAACTTTGGTTTTCCATTCTGGTATAGAATTACCTTGTAGAGATGTAGTATCTAAGTAGTAAGAGTAGTTAAGTTTTAAAAAAACTTCAAAGGTCTCTGTTTCTTGGGTTGCTTAAACAGACCTAATTAAGCAACGGACCTCTATAAATGGAAGTTTTCTGAGGACTAATGTTGTCTTTTTGCAATGTTACTGCTGCTTGTTCAATGCTGGCTGTGTTAGCCTAAAACAAATTGGGTATTTTGAGAGCAAATAAGAATTTTTAAATAGATTGAAAGAATGGCACTACAAATTGCTTTACTTCTGCTGACGAGAATTTTTTAATTATTTATTTATGATAAATGTTTTCAAGTGCAGTGACTGCTTCTGGACTGAATAGTTTGTATTTCACTAGCAGCAGACTTAAATTTATTGCTGGGTTTTATTTGCTCTTGGATGCTGTATATTTGTAAAATGCCCATAATTTCCATAATGGGCAATGGCAAAGTACCAAAGAATATATACCAGTTAAATAGAAATACCTTTCCTTTTTCTACCGCTGTCTGCAAATCCTCTATCAGCATCTACTGGACAAAATTAATGAATATATGGGCAAAGCTGCTACCCGTTTACCCACTCTCTCTCTGCTGGGACACGTGATAAGACGACAACCATCTTGGAAACATAAGCTTTCTCAAGCACCTCTCCTACTTTCATTACTTAAATGTCTCAAGGTAAGAACTGTCAGTGTTGTCCATAAAACACTTGTACACCTGATGTAAACATACATACTTGTAATGCAAGGCATTTGTTTTCTGTTTTGATGTCATTTAGTTAAGCTGTGAGAAGAGATAAAATGTTGATTAAAATACTGAGCTGCAGTGGAATTATATCAACTAAACACACCGTGTTGATCCTGTTGTTAATGACAATCTTGTTTCTAAAAGCCACTGTCAATATATAACTTTGAGTTAGGAAAGTTTGCTAGAACTTTTCTAAAAATAAGTTAAAGACAGAGGGCCATCGGCGAAATTGATGGATATCTTGAATGTGAACTTAATGAGGAATACAATAACTTCCCATTAGTGCATTCTGAAATTTGTGCATGTAAGGTAATATACTCTACTTGCAGTGTAGATGGGCCATGCAATAGACTATTCCATAGTGAAATTACCTTGGAATTAGCAGGCTTTCCTTTCTTAGCTACAGATGTGCTGGATTACAAGTAGGTAGCTGTTTCCCCATGCTTTGGGTTTTTTTCCCATCTGCAAATTTATCAGTTATCATACTGCACAGTATTGTAACAGTGAAGAACGAATGGAAAGTGTTTTGAGACCTAGAATGCGTTGTCGGTAATATCATTTAATATGATAGTGAAGAATTCATATTAGTCATTTAAGTCACATTAAAATGCATGATACAGTCAAGTGCCAGTTCTCTTCGAAACAAAAACACAACGAATTTATAACTGCCAAAGAAGAAGTGACAAGTGCTGTTACTGGAACTCCTGACGTGCCTGACAAGGGTTCTGTTATCCTTTTCAGTGTGAGTCTTGATTGTGAGAGGAGTGAAGTGTGTCAGAAAGCTGGTGGGAGTAGAACAGAGATGTGGAAGTGCTAGGGCTGTGTACAAAGGGATAGGGATGGACATGAAATGTGCTGTGAAAGGTTATGTCTGACTGAGGGAGAATAGAGGCCGTAGATTACACAGAGGAAGAAAAATTCGTAACGTTGAATGTCCGATCAGCCCGAGTGGCTCTTGGGAGATACCAAGACCAGCTCAGCGGCATCTGGCCACAGGCTTACGTATGCTGTTTACAACCCTATCCTGACAAAGCAGAGGAACTACCAAGGAAAATGCGCATTAAGCTGGGGAAGCAAATAGGAACCCTAGTTTGAACATTTTCTGTGTCCTGTCCTAAAATCTGACTCTCTATTACTGTTTCATCTAGCTAAATATTTTTATTGCCACATCCCTTTCTCTCTGTGTAAGCCATGGGATCCTAGTTATTGTTTGAATTACTGCTTTATGAAATATTTAGCAGCCAGAGTCATCAACCAGGTTTAATAGAAAAGCTTTTGACCCGTGCGTTGGTAATTGGCCAACATCCTTGAATACCCTGATCAGATTTGCAGTTTCTTAGGCTCTGAATGCTGTGTATGCTTAGCTCTGGGAAAGAAGGAAGACGGTACATAAGATGCTTCACAAACCAGTGATATTTTTTTCTACTCAATTGTGGAACTGTGGTGATGTTCCCTTTTTAACTAAGTCAAGTCTTTATAGAGAAAAGCAGCAGCAGAATAGGAGCAAGAATCCCAAATCTTTTTTCTTAGTTGTTCTGGATGAAAGAGACAATAATCTCGGTTCATTAAGTTATGGTAGGTTTCAGAGGGACTGTTTGAAAGTAGAGAACTTTTTCCATGATGATGATTCAGTGTTCACTTCATCCTTGGAAAAACTTAAGTTCAACTCTTTTAACTGACTAATGCAGGTTTTTTCCCTTCTTGCAGACTGACACAGATGTAGTAGTACTCACCACAGGTGTCCTAGTGCTAATAACCATGTTGCCAATGATTCCTCAGTCTGGCAAACAGTACCTTCATGATTTCTTTGGTATCTTTGGGCGTCTCTCAGCCTGGTGCTTGCAGAATCCAGGTGAGATTTCAACTTTGTTGCATGCAGTTATGGTTTAGTAGTATCCTTGTGACGCTTATGCAGTTGGTCAGCACATGCTTTTGTGAGACTTAATGGTCTGAGATTATTTAAATGCAGAAAATGCCGTATTAAGCTGTCCTGATTCCGGCTGGGACAGAGTTAACTTTCTTCCCAGTAGCTTGGGGGGTGTGCTGTGTTTTGGGTTTTGTGTGAAAGGAGCGTTGATGGCCCATTGATGCTTTAGTTGTTGCTGGGTGGTGCTTGCACCGGGGGAAGCACAGCCGGGGTGGTGGACCCAGCTGGCCAATGGGGTATTCCATACCATGTGGCATCATGCTCAGTATAAAAACCAGCGGGGGGTGGGGGGGCGGCTCG